GTAGTGTTTGCATAAGTTTTTGAGATTGCCAAAAAATACAAAGGTTTCACACTATCTCTTTCCATTCCTATATTGTGTGTTTTCGGCCAACATTCCTTGTTTACCTCCACACATTATACGTTTTCCTATCAATCTAAGACATTGATAGGTCTCAGAGAATTCCATGTTTAAAATAATTAAACCACCACCCAGCTGTAGACCCTGTCTAATATCAATCTAAAACATCGAAAATTATCAGATATTTATCCGATAATTCAAATGTACAATAGGCCGGCTTCCTCTAATGCGAGGATATTGCACAAGTTTATACTACCTGCAAATTTGATGCATAATTCATTGTTTAAGGTTAAGGTCCATATTAGACAGATTTCCTTAAGGAAGTAAGAAAGCACTATTCTATTCTATTCTTCGTTGTTCTATTGCATTGTTCTGATATTCCTCTTTATTCTGAAAATATTCCCATATGTTACACTCATAAATTACAGTTGGTATAATACACAATTTAAATACTTATCCTTATATCTGCCAAAACATGTATATCCCGTATTTATACTTTACATTATTTCATTATTTCAATATCCTTCGTGTTCTGCAGATGTATTTAAAAATGCTTATTCGCTCAATTGTGCAGTCGTCGATTTTGTATTTTACGTTTGTGTAAATTACCCAAACTTCTTTGCTACATATGTTTAATTTACTTATGTAAATCTTAGGTCAGGCAACGTCTCGCCATCTATTTGAATTCCATTTTTGACTCCCGTGTGCGAAGCACAAAAAGGGAGTCTTTGCAGTTCGTGTGACTGTCTGTGTGTTTGTGTGTGTGTCTGTTCCATCGATATCTCAAGAACCAATGTTCGGATTTCAATGAAACTTGGTATATAGCTTGTCTGGGGCAATGCGCAGATTTGATTAGTTTCTGCTTGACAGCCATGCATATTAATGAGGCTCATCTGCATAATAATGTGTGAATTTTAAGCTATTTCAGTTATATCTCAAGAAGCATTAAAACGATTTTTATGTAACTTGGTAAGAATGTTACTAATGATTGGCTGCTGCAATTCATTGTTGTATTTTAGATTTTAATTAAAATTTACCGTATTTATCCGGGTATAAGCCCAGGGTCTTGAACATGAGAAAATTGCCAAAAAGAAGGGGTGGGCGTTTGCCAGGAGATCCCCGGCAAAAAAAAAGAAAATTCGCAAAAATAGACAACACGCAGATCGAACTGCGGCAGGGAATAGAACGGCAAATGAAAACATGCAACGGAAATAAATGAATAATATGCAACACTGGAAGTAAAACAAAAATAATGTATTGCTTATAATGTGACAAATAAACCAGAAATAATAAAAATTGACAGTGAGGAATTATTTGAATTGGGATTTTCCCGCCGACAAACACGCCCACGCGTGAACTCAAAATGAATTAATGTGTCAAGGGTTAAACTGCGTAAAATGATTTCCGGTCTCGACAAATTACGAATCAACCGTCATAAAAGATCAATAATAATTTGCAAATTTACACAATAAAAATTATAAAAATTCATAGCTGTTTGAAAAAAATTCTCAGATCTTTATTTGTACGTTCATTGCCATGTTCGTCAAACTCAAAACCCTCAAATGTCCAAGTCGGCGTCACTGTAGCCGTCCAACAAAATCCCTACAACTTATTCCTGTAGTTCGTCGATATTGTCCCACACAATATGGACTTTTAATCCACGGATTTCGCAGTCTGTCAGCTTGGCACTTTTCATTCATGTCTAATCATAATAAAGAGACAAGTAAAATGGAGTCGCTCTGCTGCGATGGCACACCGTGACGATGCTTTTGTTTACAGTCTAGCAATCATCTTTGACCTTTATGCATCTGCTTTACTGATTGGCTAAGAATGACATCACTACTAGTATTTCATCATAAAGGTCAAATTGTGACATTGCTTTCTTATCAGACTCAACGCTTATTAATCACGGTGAAAGTTATCATTCAGCAAGTTCCGGCGGTTGGAATGTCTCACTATATGGATATCGCGGTGGACTTGAAATAGGAAGTTTTTTTTATCCAACGACAGAAGAATAGTTTTCATGACAGAAATGCAATAGTGGTGATAAAAGATGGTAAAAAAGTTGGCAGTCTTCGGCGTGACATTGCAAAATTGCTGGCCCCAGTTATGGATTCGCAAGCTGCTACAAAATACTTATAAAGCCAAAATAACGTGATTTCAATCATTCTCCCAGGTACGGGTTGCTACAATATTACAACATTGGTTTCATGTCGAC